GGGGGGGGGGGTGCGGAGTCTGTGGAGTGGGCAGGAGACTTGGGGGGGGCGGAGTCTGTGGAGTGGGCAGGGGACTTGGGTGGGGGGGCGTAAGTAGTGGTGATCCTTGAACAGTCTGCTCACTCTACTGCAGGGTTATGGTTCTGGCAGCGAATCCGGGAGGCCAGTCGGCCCCCAGCACGGCTTTAGAAGTAGGACCCAGAGCTCTGGGAAGGCTCAGGAGCCGCAGGTGGGTTTCCTGACCAGAGTCTGAGACTGGAGACCTGAGGACGGGGCACCGGGGTGATACTCGAGGCCCTAGGAGGTCGCTGGGTCCTCGGGGCACAATATGGAAGCACCGGGTGGGCGACCCTACAGGTGAGTTTGGGGGCAGGTTTGGAACAAGTCTGTGCCTGTCGCTGAGGTCTGGGGTCCGAGACAGAGTCCAAGGGGAAGATGGAGTGACCTGGGGACGGAACGTGAGCTCCAAGGCCTGGGGTCCTGCGTAAGATCTGGATGTGAGAGGGGACATCAAAGTCTTCGGATCGCACAAGGGGCAGGGCCTGGACACGCGGTGGAGGAGGGGACGCGCGGAGTCCTGAGGGTCGGAGGTTTAAGAACAGAGGGGCCTACCCGTCCTCCAGGATCCCGTGTCACCGGGGAGGACAAGGTGTGCGCGACTTGCGCTCCTACTACTCACATGCTGAGGCGGTGCCTGGGAGAAAGAGAGAGGTGCGCCCCGCCCTTTCCGGTGTCAAGTTGTCCTGGCGGCGCCCCGCCTAACCCTCGCCGCCTCGCTTCTTCCGGTCGCACAGCGTACAAGCGGCTCTATTCCCTTAAGGGCCAAACCGTTATGGCGGGGCCCTGCTTCTGCTTCCGCCCAAGCCTGTAACAGCGGCTCCCCGTGGGCCACTTCCGGCCTCTGCCTGCAATGGCGGCGCCCTACTGGCCCATTCCGGCCCTTGACTGCAATGGCGACACCCTCTTAGCCACTTCTGGCTTGACCGGCTTGGTGGCCTTACCCTATTTCCGGCTTGCGCTGGCGGCCCCCGGACTTCGCCGGAAGTAAATAATGGTAAGCACAGCGGTGTCGCCGCAGCAAGGCAAGCTAGGTACTCAGCTGCGAGGCGCCCTACGGGGCTGGGCTACAGCCACACACGCTCCCAAGTCACCTGACTGGAGCTAGTGGAGCGCGCCTGTCCTTTGCTGTGGCCCTGCAACATGTACGGCACGGCTTGGCTGGGAGCCGTGCCGCATGGCGCATGCGCTCGCCTAGGGACACTGGTTCGTACGCATGCGCAAGCCGGGCCCGTCACCCCAAATTGGGCCCCGGTCTGCGTTACCCAGTCGAGCCCCCTGGCGGAAGCCCAGAATCCGGGCGGACGGAAGCTTCTGCTCCGGCTGCTCTGCAATTCCTCTCGGTGTGGTGACGGTTCCAAGGTGGGGCTGGCCCGGTCACCCCCAGTGGGAGGCGGGGCGTTAGTGTCCCCTAGTCCGAGCGGGACGCCTCGGCGTGCTCGTCTGCGAAACGGGGGTGACAGTGACGCCTCCCCCTGGGGCACAGATTGGGGGCCAGTGCAGGAACTGTCCCCGAGAGGACACTTGAGCTAGCCGCGGTGACATAGGCTTGGAGGCACGTGCACCCCAGTAAGTCCTTTCACCCAAGGCCTCTGCAGTTCTCCTGCAAAACCTTCCCGGTGCCCTTCAGGTGGGAGAAGCGGGCAAGGAACAGCGTCAAGGACTGGCTGTCGGGAGACTCTGTGCTTCTGGTCCAGTGGAGCACTTGCAGGGACATGAAGGTGATCTGCGTTTCGGTTTGCTACAGTGGCACCAGAAAGAAAAAAGCATCTCATAGCTGAACATTCTAGGGGAGGGACAATGAACCCAGTAAGAAAGACACACTATATTAGGGATGGACGCTAAGGAAATGACCAGTCTGGGAAGGGAACGGAAAGTGTTGTGAATGCCCAGAGGTGTGATGTTCTGATTTGTAACTAGAAATAGGTCTTTGTCTTTATCCACTGGTCCTGGCATAGAGCTCCTCAAGTTCTTGAATTTCTTAAGGTGTCTTTATGTTATGGAGATGACTTCTGGGCCTCACCCAAGGATGCCAGAACCCCCGACCTCCAGAGAGGAGAGGGGCTGCAGGTTGAATCAATAGCCAATGGCCAGCGATTTCATCAATCATTTCTATGTGATGAGGCCTCCATAAAAGCCCAAAAGGATGGGGTTCGGAGAGCTCTGGGTTGGTGACACGTGGTGATGTGGGGACAGTGGTGCACCTGGAGGATGAAGCAGCTCCCTGCCCTTCTCCCAGGCCTCGCCCTGTGCACTCTTCCATCTGCTGTTCCTGAGTTGTCCTATAATAAACCAGTGATCCCATGAGTAAACCATTTCTCTGAGTTCTGTGAGCTACTCTGGCAAATTAATCGAACCCGAGGAGGGGGGGTCAATCTATAGCCAGTTGGTCAGAAGCACAGGGACAGCTGCTCCTGTCCCACCTAAGAAAGCGTAAGACTACTACCGGAAAGACGGAAGCAATACGGTATATAAAATGAAGATGAGACATGGCAAATGTGATGCTAAATATTAAATAACTATTTTGTAAATCTCTTTAAAAGGTAATTACTGCTTAAAGCAAAAGTGATAATGTAAAACATTGACAAAAATGGCACAAAGGCCAAGAGAAGGGGAAGTGTATAGTGTTGCAAAGTTCTCACATTAGAAATTTTAAAAGAAACAAAAAATGAAAATGTAGAGGTATGTTAATAAGCCAAGAAAGGAGATCAAATGAAATAAAAAATAACTAAACCAGCTCCACACAAGTATGGCCAACTTATTTTTGACAAAGGTACAAAAGTAATTCAGTGGGAGGAGGGCAGTCTTCAAATAACTGTGCCCGAGTGACTGGCTGTTGAGCAGCAAAAAGATGAATCTTGACCTACAGCTCACACCTTCTACAAAAATGAACTCAAGGGGGCCGGCCGAGTGGCTCAGTTGGTTAGGAGCCAAGCTCTGAGCAGCAGGGTTGCCAGTTCAATTCCCATATGGGCCAGTGAGCTGCGTCCGAGCTGAGCTGCCACTGAGCTGATGAAAGCGCATGCTCTTAACAGCAAGGTTGCTGGTTTGACACCCGTATGGGATGGTAGGCTGCGCCCCCTCCTCCCAACTAAGACTGAACATAGCATCTTGAGCTGTGCAGTGGCGAGCTGCGGCCGGATGGCTCAATGTGCGACAAGGTTGCCGGTTTGACTCCTGCATGGGATGGTGGACTACGCTCCCCCTGCAAGTAGATGGAAAGTGGCAACTGGACTTAGAGCTGAACTTGTGCCCTCCACAAACTAAGATTGAAGGAACAACTTGACTTGGAGCTGATGGGTCCTGGAATGTTCCCCTTCCCCAATTCCCCAACACTTCCCCTCCCCAATTCCCCAATTAAAAAAAACATAAAAAATAAAAAAATAAAAATGAACTCAAAATGGATAAATGGGTCATAGATTTAAACGAAAAGCACTAAACTACAAAACCTTTAGGAAACAGCAGGAGAAAATCTTTGGGCTTGTGAGTTCTTAGATATGATACAAGAATGATCCACCAACAAACAAAAATTGGACTTCATCAAAATGAAAATATTTTGGGGCTGGCAGAGTGGCTCAGTTGGTTAAGAGTTAGCTTAAGAGCATGAGCTCTGAGCAACAGGGCCGCCTGCCTGTTCGATTCTCACATGGGCCACTGACGTTGCGCCTGAGCTGAGCTGCGGCTCAGCTGGTGAGAGCACATACTCCTAACAAGGTTGCCGGTTCCATTCCCGCATGGGATGGTGGGCTATGCCCACCCATAGATTGAACATGGCACCTTAAGCTGAGCGGCCGCGAGCTGCTGATGGGCGGCCAGATGGCATCAGGACTTGGCGCTGAGCTAGCTGCACCCTCCACAACTAAGACTGAAGGACAACTTGTCTGTTCCACATCCCTAATTCCCCAACACTGTTCCCCTTCCCCAATTAAAAAAAAAACTAAAAAAAATTTAAAAATTTTGCTTTTCATCAAAAGATGAAAAGATAAGGTATGGACTGGGAGAAAAGATCTGCAGAATGCTTACGTTTGTATTCTAGATACAAAGGCCTTTTTTTTTTTTAAGATTTTTATTGGGGAATTGGGGGGATGGGAACAGTGCTGGGAATTGGGAGAAGGGGAACAGACAAGTTGCTGTCGTTTTGTTCTTCAGTCTAGTTGTGGAGGACGTTGCTTCACTGGCCCAAGTTGGCACCATCATTGCGCTCTTCCCGGGTGAGGCACATCAGTCGCCGGTCTCTGGACGGCCACTCACGGCGGCTTGAGGGCTGCTCACGCTGGCTGCTGGCTACACATGGTAGCCCATGGCAACCCACTGCAGCAGGGGCTGCAGCCTACGCCGTCGCTGGTGACTCACGGCAGCCCAACGCCAGGTTGAGCTGTTGTTCAGCATCTTAGCTGTGGAGGGCAGTGTCACTGGCCCTCATACGTGGGATCCGAACCGGGGCCCTCTGGTGTCCCAAGCCAGTTCTTAACCAACGTGCCACTCCACCGGCCCCAAAGGCCTTTTATCTACAGTATAAAACGCAGTCTCAAAATTGTATAGGAAGACAATCCTCTTATAAATGACTGACGAACACAAGCAGACACTTCACTGAGCAGGTGCAGACAAGCCCACCAGAGACGTGTAATGTCATCAGCCATCTGGGACGTGGGTTAAAAGCACAAGACATCACTGCACACCTGTCAGTGATGAAAACTGAACACAGGAGCACCATCAGGTGTAGGTCAGGATGTGGAAGAAATGGCCACTCACCCGTTGCTGGTGGGGACATAAACATGTCACGGCTACTTTAGAAAAGTCTGGCAGTTTCTTCTTGGACTTTTGTCCCAGAGAAATGGAAACGTGCATTCACACAAAAACTGTGATGTTCACACACAAAAAACATGTTCACAGCAGCTTTATTTGTGACCACCCCAAATGGCGAACAACCAAGACGTGCTCCTCAGGAGGCTGGTTAACACTGTCACACCCACCTGGAGGATACACAGCAGCAAAAATAAACAAATGACCGATACTCGAAATGACAGGGATGCACCCTGGAAAATGACGTCAAGTGGAAAAGGCGAACCTCAGAGGTCACAAACTGATTCTGTTTGCACAATGTTCTTGAAATAATGAAACCATAGCAATGGAGGGCAGACTCGTGGTTGCCAGGGGTTAAAGATGGGGTGGCTGTAAGGGGATCCCTTTACACAGCACACAGCAGCCTGTGGGAATGGAGCTATTCTTTCTTGTGTTTGTCACATCAACCTGCACATGACAACAGTGAACAGAACCACACACACAAATTTGTGTGAAACTGCTGAAACAGGACCAGCTCTGTGACGACCCAGTCTCAGTCTTAGTTGTGAATCTGTAATTTAAATCAAAGCTAAAATTTTTTATTTTACCATTTTTACTGCTGCTAAAAAAACCTGGAGGGACTTGAACAGACAACATCAGTGGTGGGATGGAAGCAGGCAGACTGGAGCGGTGGGGAGTCCAGCTGGGATTGTAACGGGGACGGGGTGGGGGTCATCAGTCGAGAGTCAAGGTGTCTCGTTTTTTTCAACAGTTCAGTGAAGCCAAACCAGGATGTACCTCGAATGGATAATTTCTCTCAGTTTAGCCTGATCTGCCTTGTTAGTGGCAGACATCTGAAGCCATACTCAGAAAAGAACAATCTTTGGGACGTTTTTAATGAAAAGTATCTTACACTTGCACAAGCGTACACAACAGGAGTACTGCCAATGCTGTGAAACACGCAAGAATAGGACAGCCCAAATACCCATCACTGGAACAGGACAGTGGAGTACAATGGGAGGGAGGGTGGGAGGGCACTGCCACCCACCAGGATTTTAGAGACTATGAAAAAGAATGCAAAGTACCTCAATGCACTTTTAATAGTCCATGTTGATGTGGCATTTTGGCTACATTACATTAAATAAAATAGAGGGTTATCATGATTTCTAAGATACAGAAAAAAACCAAAATGTCAATGAAGAGGTGAATGGATAAAAGATGTGCTCTATACACCAAGTGGATTTCTGAGCCTAAAATGGAGATCCTGCCATCTGCAAACACTGGTGGGCCAAGGACATCCCACTGAGTGAAACAAGCCGGTCATAGAGCATGTAAAAATGTCAAACTCACAGAAACAGTGGGGGCCGGGGCCGGGGCCAGGGCCAGGGCCATAGGACCTGCTGGTACAGGATGAGTGTCCACAGGCTGGCCTGCAGCACTGCGCCTGTTGACAGCATTGCATTGTTCACCCAGAAGGCAGATGGCAAGGTCAGGGTCCCCCCCCCCCGCACCGCCCATTTCACACACCACATACTCACACACATCCTCATACTCACACATACCACACACTCACTCTCACACACACCTTCCCCAACACAACCCAAAGGGACACAGGAGGCTTTTGGAGGTGTTTATCACCAACTGTGAACTGTGTGCAGTAAGTGCTTGCAGTGTTTCCTAACAATTATGCTTCAATAAGGCTGTTGGAAAACATTTCTGTCTCTTGCTTTTACTTTAATGCGGACATAAGAAAACACAGAGTTGCACACAGGGCTTGCATGACATTTGTACTGGACCGCTCTGCTCTACATGGGACAGTAAGTGGTGGCCACCGCCTGTCGAAAGTGGCATACCAACTTGCACACATACCCTTCTGTCTGTCACTGCACCATTTTTTAAGGGGAGACTTGCGAGTTTGTGAACAAATACAGCACAAATCAAATGCAGCACTAACTACACTGGAACCTTGAGTTCTTGGCTGTCAGGTCTTGGTTGTGAGCTCTAGAAACCTTGAAAAAGTGCAGAGTAACTGGTCACATTGCCACTGAGCTAGTCACATTCTGTAATCTGGCAACTCTCCTGACCCAAAAGGCCACATTGAGTTAAATGACATCCAGTTTCACTTTGATGTTCATAGCTGCCAGTTCTGCCACAAAGTACCGGAAAACGTAAGGCACAGACACGGTGTCAATGGTGTCACTGCGATGGCACACAGCGCAGCTGTACTTCCTGTTGCGCATGGCCGACCATGACGGCGGCGGCTTCTCCAGCAGTGGAGACAACAAGCTGCCACATGTCACACACACGTGCGCCACTGAGCGGTCTGAGCAGTTGAAGAGGCGGTCGTGGAGGAGGAAGGATGCCCCGTGGGCAAGCAGCGCGTCCCGCTCCATCTCCCCGAAGCGGACCCCACCCTGCACATTCCTGCCCCCTACAGGCTGGTTGGTGAGCCTGTCCCGGGCGCCGGTGGTCCTGACCTGGAACTTGTCCGAGACCATGTGACGTAGGCGCTGGTAGTACACCACGCCCACGAAGATGTCCGCGTCCAGCTCCATCCCACTGATGCCGCTGTACAGTCTCTCGGTGCCGTGGAAATCATAGCCCGCGGCCTGCAGCATGTCCCCAAAGTGCTGCAGGGCTGAGCTGTTCTCTGAGAAGGTGAAGGGCGTGGCATCGTGGCAGAGGCCATGCAGCGCTGCCGACTTGCCTGCCATGCTCTCAATCAGCATGCCGATAGTCATGCGTGACGGGAAGCCGTGAGGGTTGAACAGAATGTCGGGGACCATGCCGCTCTCACTGAAGGGCATGTCCTCGGCCGGCCACAGCCTGCTCAGGATACCTTTCTGCCCATGGCGGCTGGCAAACTTGTCCCCAATGGTCGGGTTCCGGGGGACCCTCATTGTGACACACACGCACTTGAACTTCCCACTTCCAGTGTCATTACCACACACTTTGATGTTATCCACAATACAATCTTCTTTACTCCTAGGAAACATTACAGAAGGTCAAGCTGTTTGTGCAAACTTGCAGAAGCGTAAGTTTGACTCATAAAATCAGGGCTTCACAAGGACATTTGCAAAGTGTTCTCCAGCCCAAACAGCAGGCCCCCGGAAAGTGTCGATGAACGGGGGTGGTTATGTCCCCACAGAGCTCTGATCCCCTGAACAGCTATTAGGGAACTACTCTGAAGACCTGCTGCTGACACCTACCTTACAGGTGACATGGGCTAACACTGTTTTATTTTCCTAAGAGGCACAACGAGCCTGACATCTTGGCTAGGAGACATTGCTAACAACGTGCGTGAGAGTATCAAGTTTGAATCACAGTTTTAAAATGAGCCAGGTCTGTCATCAATGTGACACCAACCAGAAGAAAAGCACAGGTGGCCTCACTTAGAAAATGCCCATTCTATCACGATGGAGTCTGTCACTGACCAATCCACCAGACCCCTCAGCGCCTTATCTCACCTGTAGAGCACCACTGAGCTCTCCCCCGTGTGCAGGTTCAGGTAGCTGTAATACGGGTCTCCGTACTGCAGTCGAGCCCCGACAAAGGGCAGCCCATCGGCGTCCAGCTTCTGTGCAGTCCGCGGGTCGCCAGGCTTGACCCCAAACACCAGACTATCATCCCCTTGCTTGACTTTTTCAGAGAGATCTATGAACTCGGATTTGTAGACACTGCCATGGGCGAAGCCTCGTTCCCAAGAGGCCTTATTCACAATCTGTGAGGTCACAGAATCATCAATTTAAGGGACTGCAGCCAAGTGATGATTTCAAAATAAAACTGGTCAGAATCATGCTAGGTTTAGGGCAACTGACATGCGATTTTCTTATCACCTACGTGAACTACTAAACCTTTCTTATAAATGGCCGAAAACCTAATTGTGCACCGATGCAAAGAGAACATCCAATGGCACCTCACCTTCTTGCAGCATCCGCAGAACCACACACAGAATGTGCATATCTGGATGCTTATGCCTGCCCCACTGCTGCCACTCAACTCCAGTTGGGAATTAGCCATCTAACAGCATTCACGCCAAACACCAGGCACCGCGGACACAGTGATGGCCCCCCAGTGAATGCACCACAGACAGCACGGAGCCACTCTCAGTGAAACTCACCATAGCATCTTCCATGTCGTAGCCAGTGTAGGAAATAACGGCAACAATGGCGTTGATCCCGATGGGGTAGTTGTCCATGTCATAGTGGTCATACATACACGGCCTCACTAATGGGCTCTGTGGGGTCTGCAGGCGATACAGCTTGTTGTCGGACCGGTCCCGGTAGGTGAGAAGCGGGAAGCCCATAGTCTGCTTGCCTGCAACAGGAAAACACTTGAGCATCTTGTTTCTCCCTGATTATGGCGGTGACAGATGAAATTGGGAACTCAGTATTCGCCACAGGATGGATAAATTGTCTTGGTTAAGCTTATGGTGTGAGAATGAAGCAGACCTGCCCGGATCAACATGACTAGACTAAGAAAACAGTACCGAGATGGAAATGGACAGAAGGCATCAGCATGATACTGTGTGTACATTTCGAACACATCCCAAACATTTCTACACCAGTTTATGGACACATGAGTAATGTGATAAGAGAAAAGGAGGATATAAAGGATACAGGATAGTACTGGGGGGAGAGAAGGGGTGAAAGAGAGTAGTAACTGATCTACTTACACACACACACACACACACACACCTACACACACCTGCCCTAAGGGCACTGGACAGAACCTGGAGAGGCACTCATACAACCAATTTATAATTTATAATTCTTTTTGGCCTGATGGCCCAGTCAGTGCAGTGGCTACAACTTAAGACAGGAAACCAGTCTTATGGCTTGAAGAACAAAGGCACAGAGTTCAGAGCACGACAGCAACTGAAAAGGGGGGAGTTTCAGAAGGGAGAGCCTCAAATTCCATACATGAACCGAGTCCAGATCCTTGGTGACGTCCAGATGACACACACATAGGACATTTCCCAGTGGTCCCAAGAGCATGCTTTAGCTGCCATGTCCAGCTAAGTTATCTGCCAGTTAAACCTAAAAACCAATCCTTGGGCTGGCCAAGTGGCATGTTGGTTAGGAGTTGGCTTGGGATGCCAGCTCTGGGAAGCAGGACCCCAGTTTGGATCCCACATGAGGGCCAGTGGCACTGCGCCCTCTACAGCTAAGATGGTGAACAAAAGCTCAACCTAGAGCTGGGCTGCCTTGAGTTGCCGGCCACGGTGTGGGCTGCAGTGGGGCTGGCCAGCAGTGGGCATGAGCTTTCGTGAACTGCCGTGAGCGGCCGTCTAATGGCTGGTGAGTGACTACCTCACCCAGGAGGAGCACAGTGATAGTGCCAACATGGGCCAGTGTAGCAACATCCTCCACAACTAGACTGAAGAACACAAGGACAGCGACTAGTCTGTTCCCCTTTCCCGATTCCCCAATAAAACCTTAAAAAAAATAAAAAATAAAACCCAATCCTCTTCAGAGGAACATAACAGAATCCACAGCATTTAAAACATCATTCATAACGTCTACGATATGACCTACGATTACTAGACGTACAAAGTCGCACGAGACTATCACCCACACTCAAGAAAAAAATGCAGTAGATGAGACATCCTGATGACCCAGATGTTGGAAATAGCAGACAATGATTTTAAAACACCTCTTGTAGGGGCTGGCTAAGTGGCGCGTTGGTTAAGAGTTGGCTTGGGACGCCAGCTCTGAGCAGCAGGGTTGCTGGTTCAGATCCCACATGTGGGCCAGTGACACTGCGCCCTCCACAGCTAAGATGGTGAACAACAGCTCGACCTGGAGCTGGGATGCTGTGAGTTGCTGGCGACGGCGTAGGCTGCAGTGAAGTTGCAGTGGGCTGCCATAAGCTACTGTGAGTGGCCGGCAGCCAGCGTTTGAGCGGCTGGCGGTGGGCATGAGCTGCCACGAGCTGCCGTGAGTGGCCATCCAGAGGCTGGCCACCGATCTGCCTAACCCGGGAAGAGCACAATGATAATACCAACATGGGCCAGTGAAGCGACGTCCTCCATAACTAGACTGAAGAACAAAAAGGACAGCAACTTGTCTGTTCCCCTTCCCTGATTCTCCAACGCTGTTCCCCTCTCCCAATTCCCCAAAATCTTAAAAAACAAAAACAAAAAACAAACAAACAAAAACACCTCTTGTATAACTCTGCTCAAAAATGTAAAGGAAAATATGTTCACAATGAAGATAAGAATCTCAGAGACAATAAAAACTATAAAAAAGAAACAGGGCCGGCCGAGTGGCGCGATGGTTAAGAGCTGGCTTGGGACGCCAGAGGGCACCGGTTCGGATCCCACATATGAGGGCCAGTGATGCTGCCCTCCGCAGCTGAGATGCTGAACGGCAGTTCGGCCTGGAGCTGGGCTGCCGTGGGTTGCCGGCAATGGCGTAGGCTGCAGCCCCTGTGGCAGTGGGTTGCCATGGGCTACCGTGTGTAGCCAGCAGCCAGCGTGAGCGACCAGCAGCTGCAGTGAGCGGCCGTCCAGAAGCCGGCGACTGATCTTCCTCACCCGGGAAGAGCGCAATGATGGTGCCAACTTGGACCAGTGGGGCGATGTCCTCCACAACTAGACTGAAGAGCAAGACGACAGCAGCTTGTCTGTTCCCCTGCCCCCAATTCCCCAGCACTGTTCCCATCCCCCCAATTCCCCAATAAAAAAAATCTTAAAAAAAAAACAAAAACAAATGGAAATTCGAGGCTGAAAAATGAAGTATCTGAATAGAACACAAAAGTCTGAACATGATGACAGAGCAATAAAAATGATCCAATCTAAAGAGAAAGAATAAGATGGGAAAAAGAGAACAGAAACCGAGTGGCCCGCGGGACATCAAAGGTTTAACATACATGATGCGTAACTGAAATCTCAGGAGACAGAGAGAAAATGGGACAGAAGCATTATTTTTAGAAACTGGCAGAAAACTACAAATTTTATTAAAAACCCCTTTTTAAGATAGATTTAAGAAGGCTAGCAGATGAGTGGCTCGTTTGGTTAAGAGCCTGAGCTCTGAGTAACAGGGTCGCTGGTTTGATTCCCACATGGGCCAGTGAGCTGCGTCCAAGCTGAGCTGCCAACAGGTGGCAGGACGGCTCAACTGGTGAGAGCACATACTCCTAACAACAAGGTTGCCGGTTCCACTCCCGCATGGGATGGTGGGCTATGCCCACTCACAGATTGAACATGGTACCTTAAGCTGAGCGGCCACGAGCTGCCGATGGGCAGCCGGATGGCGACTGGACTTGGCGCTGATCTAACTGTGCCCTCCACAACTAAGACTGAAGGACAACAACTTGTCTGTTCCCCTTCCGTAATACTGTTTCCCTTCCCCAATTCCTCAATAAAATCTTAAAAATAAAAAGGCCAGGAAACCCCAAGCAAGACGAACACAAAGAACATCATACTCGGGCATACCAGAGTTAATCTGTTACGACCAAGAATAAAGAGAAAATCTTTAAGACACCAGAAAAATATCATGTTACCACAGGGGGAAGCACCCTATAATTGCTGACTTCCAGTTAGAAATGAGAGACCCAGAAGACAGTTAACATCTTTTAAGTGCCAGAAAAAAACCTGTCCAATCAGAATTGTATATCCAGTTGCTTCAAGTGAAGAGGAAATAGGTATTTCAGAGAAACAAAAACTCAGAGAATCTGTAGCCAGCAACCTGCAACTGTAACAAACGCTAAGGGAGATTTTCAGGGTGAAGGGGAATCACATCCCGTGAAAACAGGGCTGTCAGGCAGGAATGACAGCACTGGAGTGACCAGGACATGGGTGCTTGTGGTCGTCACAAGTGGAACCACAGATCTCAGACAAACCCAAATCATTGAGCATTCTACAAAATAAATTACCCTTTTCTTAAAAAATGTCAATGTCCAGAGAGAACAGGGAAAGGCCAAAGGTCTGTTCTAAGGAGACTAAAGAGACGTGACAAGTAAACACAGTGTGTGATCTCAGACTAGGTGCTCCACACCAAAAATTGCCATAAGCCTTGTTTCTGGTACAACTGATCAAAAGTTGAATAAGGACCATAAAATAGTTGACAGTATCAATGTTGTTTCTTGATTTTAATAACTGTCCTTGGTTAGACAAGTGACTATCCTTGTTCGGAAACACACACTGAAGTATTTAGGGGCAAAGGGCACTATGTCAGCAATTTACCTTCAAACGCCAAACAGGACAAATGGGGCAAAATATTAACAGAATCAGGCAAAGGGTTTACGGGAGTTCTTTGTACCAGTCTTGCAACTTTTCTGAGTTTGAAGTGGTTTCAAGACAGTGAGAAGAACTTGTCTCCCAAGATGACTGCCACCCCATGCCTCCTCACCCATCTGGCACTGGTACATGTTCCGTGGACTCTGGTTGTGATCCGAGAAGGGGATGAAGTTGGCCACCACACTCAGCAGGCTGTGAGGGAAGAGCTCCTGGTGCGTGGTCACTCCAGCTGTGACCTCATCCTCAAAGACTGCGATGTTCATGAAGATCTGGGGGGTGATGGGGGGAGGGGAGGAGGGCATCAAGGCTGCTGTCCGGGTTCAGAGTGCGGCTTGCAGGGACGGTGGGCCTTAATATTCCACATGTCCCCTGGACCGAGTGTGAAGGGGATGGGAAGAAGCGCATTTGAAGCAGTTGCACAGGCCCACAGTTTGCAGAGGCTGTGAGCTTCGGATGGCGTGGGGGGCAGTGGCACCTGGGCAGGTGGGCAGGATGGGCAGCGGGCCCTCAAGTTCCTGTGCGAGGGCAGGGACCCTGATTTCAGAGGCTGAAGGGAGTTTTGGCTTTCTCTCAGATGCTGGTCACTCTTACACAATCCTCCCACCTTACAAAAGCAGCAGCGAGAAGTATGCGGAAGTCACACATGACATAGCAGTGTACCTGCTCCATGGTCCCGATCAACTCTTCTCTGCCCAACTCTACATTCTGCACAGGCCGCACCAGCCTGCAGGGAGTGGTGAAAAGGAAAAGTCCTGGGTACAGACTCGGTTTTCCTGTCATGGGGACAAGGGCCACCTCCATCCAGGGGGCAATTCTTTTTTCTCTCAACACCTGTTTTCAACAAAAACAGAGTTCAGAGCAGAACAGTGATGTGTCCTGTCCCCCGCCACCCAGGAGGCAGGCAGAGTGGAGAAGGAGGTCAAAGATGAAAAGCAGCATCTTAAGAAATTAATTACACAGGAAACAAAGTGGATGCCCTGCCAATCTCATCGCCCCTTAGAATGCCATTCGCCCCATATGCAGAGCCGGCAGAAGCCCTACTTTCTTGCGGGCTCAGCCCCACTGCCAGGCAAACCAGTAGTGACTTGAGACTAGGAAAAGGTAAACCACGAATGTACGTGGAGACATCTAAATGAAATTCTGCTCTCTGATGTCTGAATATACTGGGATACTGGTTTTATTTTTAAATGTATTCAATAAAAAAGCCCTTCTACCTGGGAATTAAAACACAAAACAAGTAACGAAACCTATACATCACATCTTATGGGGACTTACAACACATTATCAATAAAAATGAAAGAATGAAAATGAATTAAATTTTTAAATCAAAAGTTAAAAAAAGTCGGGGTGGCTGGTTAGCTCAGTTGGTTAGAATGCAGTGCTCATAACACCAAGGTTGCTGGTTCGATCCCCACGTGGGCCACTGAGATGAGCCCTCCAACAACTAGATTGAAACAACTACTTGACTTGGAGCTAATGGGTCCTGGAAAAAACACACTGTTCCCCAATTAAAAAAAAAAAAGTTAAAAAAGGAATAAAATAATCTCCCAAAAAAGCACAGGTAAAGAAATTGTAATAATATAGGTAAAACCTGAAATTAACAAGGTGGAGTACAGAAAGATGTTCAAATCAATAAATCAAAATTTTTGGTTCTTTAAAAATAACCAACAACAAACCCCCAATACTTAACCAATCAAAAGAAGAAAAAAGGCGGGGGAGGTCAACAAATATACTAAGAAATGAAAAGGGGGGGAAAACATTGAAACAAAATTTTAAAAGCATGGGTCTATTTTCATACCTCCAAGAAAACAAGATAAAATGGATAACATGGAGGCCACCAAAACAGACCTCAATAGAGGTAGAAAGTTTAAAGAAGACCAATTTCCACACTAGAAGTAAAGGTGTCAAGAAAGCGCCCCCTCCCCAAAAGCCCCAGAGTGATGTCCTCATGGGAATTCTTGCGGGCCAGCCACCAGATGGCCTGACACTCCAAGCTGCCCCAGAGCACTGAAAACTAGGGAGACAACTCATGCTTTTTATAAAACGGAGATTCATGAATGGAAATTTAAAAATCTTAATTATTGATATTTAAGAAAGTATCAGCATTTCTTAAATGAACAGAATAACACACCACGACCAGGTGGGACTCATTCCTGGTATTTGAGACTTACAATCCATCGCTGTTATTCGAGAATGAACATATCCGGGAACAAGGTAATATAATACACCTAGTTTTTCTAAAGGAAAGACCTTACAATTTCCCCCCAAAGATGCCAAAGAATTAAATGCAGAATTACTAGATGACTACAATCACATCTCCAGGTGTACACACAAATAACCACTACCAGGAACTCTTAACAGAAATCTGCATGCCTGTGTGCACAGCAGCGTGATTCACAGCAGTCCAAAGGTGGCAACAACCCAAGTGTCCATTGACAGATGACGGATCAACACAATGTGGGGTGGGGGTGGGGTGTGTGTTTGTGTGTGTGCGTGCTGCTACTCAGCTAAAAAGGAAGAACACTGTGATACATGGTACAACACGGATGAAATCTGAAAACATTCTGCTAATTGAAATAATCCAGATGCATAAGAAAAAATATTGTATGACTGATTCCACCTATACAAGGACCTAGCAAAGTCAAATTCATGGAAAGAAAGCAGAAGGTTACCAGCAGCCGGGGGGTTTCCACTGCTTGTGCATAGTGCTTCAGTGTGGGATGATGGAAAGTTCAGAGCATGGATGCACAACAATGTGTGCTTAATGCTGCCAAACCATACACTTGAAAATGGTGAATATGCTAAATTCTGTTATGTATGTTTACAAAAACAAAATAAACCCCATGGGACCAGAGGGCCCAACCTAATACAAGCATCAAAATAAAAACAGTAACAGAAGGGCCGGCGGAGTGGCTCATTGGTTAAGAGTTGGCTTGGGAGCGTGAGATCTGAACAGCAGGGCCGCCAGTTTGGATCCCACAAGGGCCAGTGACACTGCGCCCTCTACGGCTAAGATGGTAAACAACAGCTTGTCCTGGAGCTGGGCTGCTGTGAGGCGACGGCATGGGCTGCTGTGAGGCGATGGCGTAGGCTGCAGTGGGGCTGCAGTGGGCTGCCGTAAGCTACCCTGAATGGCTGGCAGCCAGTGTGAGCGGCTGGCAGCCGGCAAGAGCTGACATGAGCCGCCGTCCAATGGCCGGCAACCCATCTGCCTCAGCCAGGAAGAGCACAATGATCACAATACCAACATGGGCCAGTGAAGCAACGTCCTCCACAACTAGGCTGAAGAAAAGAAAAGGAGAGCAACTTGTCTGTTCCCCTTCTTCGATTCCCCAATAAAATCATTTTTTTTTTTTTTTTTAGCTGAGCCATCCTGCCACCTGTTGGCAGCTCAGCGGCTGCTCAGCTCGGGCCAGGCATCGAACCGCTGTTGCTCAGAGCTCAAACTCTTGAACAAGCTCTTAACCAACTGAGCCACTCGGCCGGCCCCCCAATAAAATCTTAAAAAACACACACACAAAAAAACAGTAACAGAAGACTCTTTAAATAAACCAAGCATCTATGAATCTCTGCTGATGCAAGTAAGCGAACAAATGAACAAAAGGAAAGCTCTCCCTTACAGAGTGGCAACTAACAAAGAGAAGAAATGATGGCATTAGAAAACAACCATCTGCAACCATCGCAGTCATAATGAACTCAGCAAACACCATCGATAAAACAGTGGTAATTCCGCAGGGAACTCATCAGCCAGTGGGTAAAGTGTGAGGAGTAAAAGGCCTTTTCCATAGTTTCCCAATATCGCTCCAGAAATCACTTATTAGAACAGCAACAGTGCAGTGGACTAATCTAAAGAACACAGCCTTGACGTGATCAATGTCAACACCACCCGTCGCATGACAAGCCAACATCATGTGCCCCTGAAACGATATCCTGAATGTCACAAGGAAGTGACACACAAATGTAAACTAAGGGACAGTCTACACAGCAACTAAAAGAAGCCAAGACATGAAAGGCTGAGGAACTGTTCCAGGCTCAAGGAGACTAGAGACATGACAAGTACAAGTAACACATGATCCCTGACTGGGTCCCAAACCCGGAGGGTCAGCTGCAAGGCCATTACCGAGACAGCTGGGACAATCTCAGAACCAACTGTGGACCCTGCCGACCCACCCCACCCTGATTTTGGTAAGCACACTGTCACTGGGGAGAAAAAGTACCTGTTAGAAAAAACATACTGAAACCTTTATGGAGAAGGGAAATGTCTGCACACTACCCTGAAATGGTTCAGAAGGAAATATAAGCACGTATGTATACAGAGCACACAAATTACAATGGTGGGTCTCACAATGGCACATGGGGTTCTCTATGCTGTCCAGCCAAATATCCATTCTTTAAGTGTAATTACATCAAGACAGACGATTTTCAAAACTGAAAAAACCCAAACAAAATGCAACAGAAGAATGCATGAACTGCCATCCATCCTGCCGCCGAAGAGCCAGGCTTCTAGAGGCCGAGAGGAGGCTTGGAAAAGCGTCTGCTTAACATTCTGAAAGTGTATTTCCAAGACCCATAAGGCAACAGGGCATGGCTCATATAGTGTATCTTTGCTATTACTTGAAATATGAAGTCCATATTTTGAGGGTCCCTATGTGCCACCAGTATTTACAAAGAAGTTAAAATTTGCTAGGTTAACAGACTAGGGCCTCAGTGAAACCACTAAAAAAAGGAGTACAGGTCAAATATCTGTCACTGACTCCAGCCTATGAGGTCAACACAAGGCAAGACTGCCACCAGAGTGAATGTAGGGTACGTTCGGAATCAGCCTCTGAGCCCCAGACCACCCTAGATGGCCCGGAGCTACCTGAGCAGGTAGAAGAGGACTGAAACACAAGACCAAGAGGTACAATGATCCACCAACTCAAGGTCACCTTGAAATGCCGGAGAGAAGCCGCAATGCTGGGGGCAAGCTCCTTGTCCACCCAGCCCACCATGACGCCATCCAGCAGGACAGGGTAGCACTCGGTGTACGGTCGATGTGGAGCTCCATCAACTGGCGTGACCCCTGGGGAAGGACAGATAGGGTCATTGCATCCGGATGCCTTTCCAAGACTGGAGAGTCTATCTGGATGGGCACACGGCAGCACTGTCACTGCAGACACCCAATGATCTTGTCTCTGAAGCAGAATGGCCGCTTGGTGTCAGCATTCCCCATGTCATCTGTCACCCAAGCCCTTCCGCAGTGCCACGGCCTCCCCATCTCTCCTTCTGCAGTCGGACACACTGTCAGCCTTTCTATAGTCTCCCCTCCTTTCCAGCATTTCCTACACTTTATAATCACTGGTGGTAAAGTGATTCTTGTCCCTGTAGAGAGAGAACCTTCAATTACACTGATCACATTCCGTGAATCTCGAGTAATCGGGAATCCCTTTCCTTGGGGCTCCTTCTGAAAGACCTCGCTCTCCTTGGCAGACTTACTTTTAGCAGGGATTTTGTGACTTAACCCAGTGGCCTCTGGCTCCTTGAGAATACCTACCACCTGAGTCCTAGGAGCTGAGGCTTCAGAGTATCAACCCCACCACAGACCACACCTATCTCCAGATCACCACTGAGACCCCCAGGACTAGAAGACTGAAAGGGGCATTGTGACGAGTGACCATAAACTGAAATGCAGCAGCGCACCTGAAGGCCAGCACACAAGACAGTCTGGTCCGCCAGTAAAGGTAGAGTGAGAAGTTGCCAGGCCCCCAGGAACAAAGGCTGTGGCTCTGCGGACTTCAGGGTACAGACTGTACTACCTCCTTAGTGTCGCAGCAGTCAGCCAAACAGATGCAGGGCAGTGACCCCAAACGTCACTTCTGATATTAAATGCTGCTATACTTTAAATACTTCAACCTCTCCTTTTTTTTTTCTTTTTAAATAAAACTATGTGAATTTCACCTCTATTCATTTGTGAAGAATGCACCTGACCGTCGTGGAGAAGCCAAGGAAGTGGCCCAGAACTGTTCTGTGTTCCTGCACAGAACAGTGAAACAGTCCTTGTGGGAATTCTCAGTGTCTGCCATGCAAACGCACACACCCCATGCATCACGCACCCAGGTTGCAGAGCAAAGCTGGGATGGACGCCGTGTACACAAACTGCGTGACCACCTCACATGTGGCCGTTAAGTGGTTCATCAGGCCACAGGGCTCCCCATCGGGGGTGTGCACGGGGCACAGGAAGCCCCAGGACTCCGGCAGCAGCTTGCGCACTGTGGTTGTCCTCATCTTGGCGAAGTCGGCCCCTCTGTGCACACAGCGGAAATGGGACAGGTAGCGGACGAAGTTCAGCTTGTCAGCCACAACACAAAGTCCAGAGTCTTGCAGGAAGCCAAGACCTTGATAAAACAGAAGTCATTCAAAAACAGGCTGCACTTAAAAAGCCTCCAGATTTCACAATGTCTCAGCCCAGCTGGTCACTTAGCTTTTCTACCAGCACCTCCATGGTGGGGACACTAGATGGTCACACAGCAGCAAGTACTGAGGTGTTCATCAGAGGGGCTGGTGAACACACAGGCAGCTGTTAGCCCTAAAACAACCTGCACATTATTTATCACGTTAAAAAACCCCAGGCTCGGGCTGGCCGAGTGGCTCAGTTGGTTAAGAGCTCGTTAAAGAATGAGAGCTCTGATCGACAGGATCGCCGTTTCGACTCCCGGCCTGAGCTGAGCTGCCGCTGAGCTGCCAACAGGTGGCAGGATGGCTCAGCTAAAAAAAAAAAAAAAAACCAAAAACAACCCAGGCTTCTGGCTCTCACTGCCACTCTTAAAAGTGTTCTGGGCCATCCTGATGCAGAAGCTTAGGGATGGGGAGGGCAACAACCTTCCAGACCACCTGTCCAGGTGACCCTCCCTGAGAGATCTGAGCCATCTTTAGTTTTCTAGGAGGCACAGGAAATATACCTAATCATCAGAATTGGATTTAAGCTACACAGGCACCTTGTCAAAAGCCCCACACTGACATGAGCCTACTGTTCAATTTCACCTGTTTTAGATCGCAGGTTCCCAGTAGCAAGAAGATATTCAAATGGTTTTGTAAGGTCTGTTCCCAGATTAAAAATCTTCATCAAGTTTTCAGCATTTATGGACACATTGGTCTTCTGAGCCTTCTTGTCTAAAGCTATTTTAATAGATACTAACCAAGCCTCCATTTTTTCCTGAAATAAGAAAAAAGTTTAAATTACATGTTTACTTGAAATTACCAATAACAGAAAACGTCTGCCTCATATCAATTTTTATCAAGGAAATTCTAGGCTGCTGAAAATTTTCAATCTAATTTTATGGATGAAGCAGACAGACATAAAAGTTTTTACCTTTTAGTAAAAATTTAAATAAGAATAACTTGGTAAGAAATTAGGAGATTTTTAGTTTATCTTCCAACCCACTGTTACCTGTAAGATTAAATCATTTTTAGGGATAATCAGAATATAAAATACCACCAAATCAACTTCCTTATGAAATCATTTTTGTGCCACGCCAACACTGTCCACATTCACCACACTCACACCCTCACTCACACCCCCACCACTCTGGTCACTGACAGTTGAGTTCTGGAGCGTTGCTGTCAATACTGAATTAACTCTGAGGCTACGCACAGGATTAGTTCCTGCAAGTCTCAGGTCACACCATTCTCGTCAACTGACACTCAAGCCTGTTGTTTCTGTGGAAAGACCCTCACTGACTCAGCACCACTGAACGCACAACCAGCAGCCCTGTAACTGGTGCCTGAGCAATGTCACTCAATGTTGCATTTTCTTGTCAGGCACATCCCAGCCTCCATGATTTTAGGAGCCTCACCAGCATTTCAGCACGGTGCCTGCAGGCCATAAACAGCGAAGTCACCAACACGGAGCACAAATGTGAAAAACATGAAACCAAACAGACCTGCGTCACAGTATGAGAGCTGGAATGAGAAGGCAGAGTGTCGCTTCCCAGACCTCAACTGGGAGCACGGGCACCAGGAGATGCCCATGTGTCACCACCCCATGCATGTCTGTGAAGGACCATGAAAGTACTGAGTACTGACACCGGTTTACAAGGACATGTCAGCGAGGGTGTGAATTTGGACACATGGGCAGAGCGCGACTGTGTGCAGTGCACGTGTAGAGGCCATTTACACTCAATCACCAATGTTATGAGCAAGATCAGGTCCCTTACTGTTAGGTAAACAAACCAAAGTAGAACAAAGAGCCATGGTAAACTGCCCAGAGAAACAACACGTGCAGAAGACGGCCCGCGGGGGCCATCACCCCACTGCACAGATCAATGGCCTGTGAGGGCAGGGCACCTACCTTCAGATACATGAGGAAGAGCTGCCCAGGTGTGAGCACTTCCTGGTTCACCAAACTATCAGGGTTGTCTTCCACGCACTCTCCTTTGGCCAAAGCAAAGAGCTTTCGGGTCATGAGACAAAGCATGTAAAACTTTTCAGTATTGGACTTCAAGTGGATGCAGACACACTGGCTGTCAAAACAGAAACAAGCTTAAGACAATTCAGCTGCCACTACTTGACATCCAACTAACCAATTCATGTTTACTTCAAAGTCCTTGCTCGTTTTCAAAACATCACTTTTTACTTTACAGGCAGTATCAGTAGAAGAACAGAATATCGCCCCAAGGTCTGGAGCTCTGCTGGCCAACATGGTAGTGACAGGCTGCTTACATTTCTATTACAGCTGACCCTTGACCACTGCAGTGGTTAGGGGCAGCGACCCCTGCACAACTGAAAGCTGTTAACTTTTGACTCCCAAAAATTCAACTTCTGAGGGAAATGGTTCCAGGACCCCCCCCAGACACCAAAACCCACAGGTGCTCAAGTCCCTTCTACAAATGGCATAGAACAATGCATTTAATCAGCCCTCCACACCCACAGATTTCCTGACTGAGGATCAAAAATGCTGTTTTCAATCCATAGCTGGTTGTGAAACCCGGGATACAGAGGCTGACCATGTTTGTTGAAAAAAATCCATATGTAAGTAGACCTGTGCAGTTTGAACCTACAATTACAGGGTCACTTAGTTTTTAAAGTGGAATGCCATCAGGAATTCAGTCTCTCAGCTGCCCCGGCCATGCAGGTACTCAGCACGGCCCATGGCTGGTGCTGGTGTAGAGCAGGGCTCCCTCAACAGTCCCCAAGGCCACGGGACAGCCCTTCCCTCGGGGAAAGAAGCGCACACATGTGCCTTCAACTTTTAAATGATCAGAAGGAAAAACATCTACCTAAGTGCAGAGAAGTAAAGCAATCAGTAAAAACGCTAACACCTTGTGAACGTAAGTGTCCAATGTACTATTTTTGCAGCAATTCTGGAAGTTTGAAGTTATTTCAAAATAGAAGTTAGAAAGTACAATAAAATAAAATACTTCCACAGACGAGAGGGTGGTGAGGATGGCCACCGAAACGAAGCAGCCCCTGCTTCACCAGACTGATTCCACCCCCAGGTCTGTCCTGATTCTGATGGCTCAGCAGCCCCCATTATATCAACACCAAGAACGAGTGACCCCCACCCCTGGATACTGAGGCCAAAGTACACGCACTTAAATAGGAACTCCGCAGCCTGCTCATTTGGACACCAGTCAGGAAGACTGAGTTTCACTCGGAAGCGTTCACCCAGATAGTGAAGGACCTGTTTTTGGGTGACACAACCCTCGTCCACCACAATCCTTAGCATCTGAGAAACAGAGTTCCTAAAGAAAGAGTCGTCTTCTTTTCCTTTGATGAGCTCCTGAAAAATCTGATAATCAGAAAAGCCGACAAGTGCCTGGAATAGAAAAAACGTTTTCTGTGAATTGCAAATAGTGGCTAAATTATCCAATTCATTAACAATTCTCTCCTAGTTTTTTAACATCCAAGAAACATTAGCACTGCACTATCGTTAAATTCAACACTCCAGAATAAGAGCATCGCTTGTAAAGCAGACCCCAGCATGACCCCAGTGGGCCTCACCTCCTGGAATCCTCAGCCTTATAGTGTCATTCCACACTGAACCAGGGTTTCCTCTCATCCTGCTTGGAGAAGACTGAAAGGCCCAGCAGGGGGATCTGAGGCCTTCTGCCCCGGCCTGCTCTCACTAGCCAACCAGGAGGGAGGCACTGTGGAAGAGGGGCCCCCAGCCTAGTCGAGCCTTCACACGACTGCAGCCCCGACAACTCACTAGGACCTCTGGAGACCTCGAACAGAACTGCCCAAATTCCTACCCACAGGAACTGGGACAAAGAAATGTTCACTGATGTGTTTTAAGCCACCAAATACCAAGGTAATGTGTTATGGAGCAGTAGGCAACTCACACAGCATGAACTCTGCTAAGGAGAACCTGTCCATTCTGCACAGGAAACCACGACATCACTAAAGAAATACAGTTAGCAAGTCAAACCTTAAGTGCAAATCCCAAAGGAAGAAAAAACAGTTCTTTCCGGTAAATGAAGTTCAACATCACTGTGCCATTTTCTAAGTAGTGAAGGTTCATGTTGATGGCTGAGTGCTCTTCCCTCACACAGTGCATTGACACTCCTGTGGAAACAATCAGGAGCTTAGGAACCCTAAACCGCTTCAATCATTGTTTTTTTCTGAATTATTTTTACCCTTAGAAATAATTAGAGCCAAATCACCGTTTAGCCAAGACTGGCAATCAAAAATGCCTCCAAACCTTGCCAAGTGTCCCCTGGGGTGCAAAATCGCCCTTGAACAGAGGCCAGGTGGCTGTCAGCCAGACAGCTGAGGGGAGGGGCGTGCCACGGTACCTGGACCAGGCATCTGGGGCCACACCCCCCTGTGGCTGCGATGCCTTCAGCTTCTGACACAGTATCATAAATACACGACATTCTTTCAGTTTAAAAGGGATGGAGCATCACAAAAGGTAGGTTTCCTACTATGAGATCTCAACACAGACATGCTTAATAGAAAAAAAATTTATACATAGGTGAGAAAAACATCAACAATTTTAGATGCATCTCCTTTAAAAATAAAAAAAGGCTTAAAACTTTTCTACAAGAATGTTCCAAGAGTCACTACAGCTTACCGTACTGAGTATAGCCAGGCCCCCTGGTTCTCCATTTCGGTCTCACCATAGCGATGGGGAAATTTCTGCGAGGCATGATCAACATTCTGATGACCTTTTCGATGCCATTGATTATAAAATAGCCTCCCATTTCCTGCCAAAGAGACAAATTATCATCTGTTAAACAAAGATACATAACTTTAAATGTGACACCGATTAACTGCAAACATCAACCTCACTCCCAAGGATGCGGTGCAATATGCTAAGAGAGGCACACAAGTGACAGGGGCCGTGGGTCCATGGGAAACTGTGTCTTCTCAAGCACACGAAAAAGGTCGAGGGGCCTGGGAGAAAAGTATGGAAGGAAATCAGAGTCCTGTCCCTACCAGACAGTCTTGACTTAACTTGCTTTTCTGTCCCCTAAAATGGCTTCAGTTTTCAAATGAAATTAAAACAAACAAACAAACAAAAAACGGTATCCATTTTGTTTCCAGACAAGTATGGTTTCCCAAACAAGGTAAAAAACTGTTGACTATATGAAAGCTCTGGAAACCAGAAATTCAGACTATAGGAAAACATTTTTAATCGCTCCAGTCAATGTCACATTTCTGTAATAAATAGCTACTATACTGACTGCCTACCATGAAGCAGGCATGCCACGCTAGGTGCTCTGTGTTGTCATAATATGTCATTCTCACAACAATGAGTGGGGTAGCTACAGTGCCTGTCTTCAGCAGAGAAAACAGGCTCAGGAGATTGAACTGCCCAAAGCCACACAACTGCTAAGTGGAGCAGCCGAGTGTCAAACCCAGATGTGACAGCACAGTCCTCTTCCCACGGGTAACAAAGCTCCCCCATTGTAAGCAGTCTGCACATCTTGGTTACTGCAAAGCCGCCTCACACAGCTAAAAGAAATGCCAAAACGAAGGCATATGGAGCATTTAATATGCTCAAAGAATCTTAGTGTTGGCAAAGGAGACATTTTAGACAACAGTTTTGTGGATTAAGAGGGCTTAAAAAACAAGTATGTCTCTAAATGTATACCATTCAGAAAACTGGGGAAACTACGAATTCTCCCCATAATAATACCCTCTACTATAACAGTCACTTTTTAACATTGTCTCATTTGAGACTCATCACAAACCATACAAAGCATCAGACAAGACATTAATACTCCATTTTGCCGACGCAAAAATGAAGCAGAGGAAGAAAAACTGAGTTCCCACTCAGGCCCCTTCCACCACCACCTGGCTGCCCAATGGCTGGACGGCTCTCACCTCTGGCTCCTCATGGCGCTCAATGAGGGCTTTGGGAGGAAGGCTGTACAAGTTGCACAGCTGGGACTTCACCATGATAGGAACATAGCCCAGAAACTGCTTGATGACTCCTCTTGAGACTCCATTCACCGCCCAGCTGATATCCGCCTAAATGAAAATAATGACTTGAGAGACAAAAAAAAATCTGGACTTACAAGAACAAATGAGTATTTTAAAAGAGGAAGGAGACCATAAATTAAATGATTTTATGCTTTTAGATTTAAAAGATGGGAACTCTGGGATGCAGTACCAAGAAAGCAGAATTCTGGTTATACTTTATTAGGTGCCAGCCTTATTCCCAGACATGTACAGTGTGTGAGTCACACACTGACACTTGTACTCACTGTCAACTTTCCACGGTAGGTACTCCTCCGGCCCCGACATTCTGCTGGATAAACATTGAGCTCTTTGCAGATGCTCCCTTTGGGAACTGTTGGAGGACTGATGACAGCATCCACAATAGTGAGAGAGATACGCTCATCTTTGAAAGCAAATTCAAAGGGAGGTATAGCCTGAAATAAAATTCACACTATTAACTGCCTGCATGTCCAAGTCACTTTTTCAGTAAGAACCTTCTGAATCCCCTGAGTTTTCTACAAACCTATAATTGCTCATGTGACACATCTAAAAAGACAGTTAAAGCTACTTCCGGTCTACTCACACCCTCACTATATACCTAAAATTAGACGGCATTAACTCTGATACCTGAGTATCTGCCACGTGTCAGATTCCTAGAAGGTCCTAGAAACGTACGTGTACAAAACGAAGCTGTTCTCTGACCCAAGAGCTTACCTGCTCTCTTCTTACCCTGCATCCTCTATGTGCACTGCAAGACTAATGGGCCTTATTCTAAGACAGCAAGGATATGGAAGCATCTCCTGATTCAGGGACCAGACACTAATGAGATTCTTTATGCTGCTATTTGCACAGTTCATGAGACGAGAGCCATGCAAAGGGGACGGTGGTGACCAGGTGGTTTTTCCCCTTCCACGGCTGCTGCTTTTCTGTACCACTCCCTGGGGGAAGCTTTGCTGTTCCACTGAGGAAGGGGTACCACTGAGCTCTCTCAGCATATTAACTACGGACAACCTACTGTGGTTGAGCAGCACAGCCCAGGAGGACCACCTCCCCATTCTCACAGCACCCAGAAACTTTTCTACAAAATACTACGGCTCCCAATCCCGCATAAATTCACGAACCACAAATGCATCTTCCCCTGGTCGACTGGAGCCCAAGATCCGCGCTGTGCCTGGCACAATCACGGAGCACAATCATTTGGGATTATACTGTGACCCCCCCCCCCCCAGGCATATCTCTGGGGCCCTGTCCTCCGCCTCCTGGCTTTCTGCCCCTCCCCCTCCTGCCGCACGGCTCCGGTCCCGCCGGGCCCCTCTCCTCCGCCTGCCGGAGCGGCGCCGGCGAGCGCGGAGCTGGAGGGAGCCTGAGGCGCCGCACTCACCTGCACCGCGTGGCCGAGCCCCTCGCGCACCGCGTAGTTGAAGGACTCGACGTGCGCCTGCGTCAGCTCCTGCAGCGCCGGCTTCTGCTGCTCCCGCGGGACCCCGTAAGAGGGGTCCGTCAAGTGCTTGAGGCTGGGCTCGCGGGGCAAACCCCGCCACCGGCTGCCAGGATCCATGCGACACCAGAACGGCAGCCTCTAGCCAGTCTCCGCAACGCCGGAAAGAAGCACGGTGCCCACGCCTGCTGCAAAATGTACCTCCGCTACTTCCGCCGGAAATCGGCCCGTACATTTTATAGGGCCGACTTGGCAGCGAAAGCGTGGAGTAAAGGGGCCGGTGTGAAACTGTGTGTAACGAGACGGAACGCTCCCGCCCCACTCAGCTTTGCCCTCTGGTCTAGTACGCGCTAATGGAGAGCAGTCTTCAAAGCGCCGCTCTTTTCCCCGCGACCGCTTCCCGATCATTGCTGATGCCTACCCTGGGCAGACCCCAGCCGCATCCCCGCTTCGAGGAAAAAGCTGGCTGACTGCTCTCTACCCCACTCGAGTCGTTAAGGCCCCTCACAGGACCGGCAGGTGGTCTGCGTTGGCGGCCCGCTTCCAGCGTCCATGGGGCTTCCCAGCCTTAAGGTCCTGCAGCCTCTCTGAGCCCTAGGAGCCACCGTCTCCCAAAGCGCCTACAGGTGCCTCAATCTCATCTTCTTTGTGTGTGTCTTTAACAGCCGCGTTTGGTGTGGCGGGAAAATGGACAATAAACACACACACTTAAAATGAAACCCTTGGTAAACTTGCCTGCATGACACCTGACGCCACCGCCATGATTCCGATAGGGAGTCAGTCCACCACTCCCAAGTGTCCTCCTGTTCCTTGGGAATCCCTCCCTCCCTGCAATTGATCTATATTCCTCCGATTGGTCGGCTTGCTTTTCCTGTAATGTCATTGTCTGGTTTGGGTATCTGAGTTAACAATGGCCTCACAGAACAACTTGGGACGTGTTCCTTCCTCTTCCATTTTTTGGATTGGTGTTGATTCCTCATTAAACACCGGCGAGTTCACCAGTGAAGCTATCTGGTCCTGGGCTTTTCCATTTGGGAAGACTTTTTTTTTTTAATCATTAATTCAGTCTCTTAAGTCTATTCAGATTTTCTGTATCTTTTTTTTTAAAGATTTTTAATTTATTTTTTAATTGGGGAATTGGGGGATGGGAACAGACAAGTTGCTGTCCTTTTTGGTCTTCAGTATAGTTGTGGAGGACGTTGCTTCACTGGCCCAGGTTGGCACCATCATTGCTCTCTTCCTGGGCGAGGCAGATCAGTCGATGACTTTGGGTCAGCTGCTCACCGCAGCTGCTGGCAGTTCACGCTGGCTGCTGGCTGCTGGCTACACGTTGTAGCCCATGGCAACCCACTGCAGCAGGGGCTGCAGCCTACACCATCGTCAGCGACTCCTGGCAGCCCAGCTCCAGGCTGAGCTGTTGTTCAGCATCTTAGCTGTAGAGGGCAGTGTCACTGGCCCTCATATGTGGGATCCAAACTGGGGCCCTCTGGCATCCCAAGCCAGCTCTTAAGCAGCACGCCACTCGGCCGGCCCTTTTAAAGATTTTTTAAATTGGCGAAATGGGGGAGGGGAACAGCGTTGCGGAATTGGGGAAGGAGAACAGACAAGTTGCTGTCCTTGTGTTCTTCAGTCTAATTGTGGAGGACGTCGCTTCATTGGCCCATGTTGGTGTTATCATTGCGCTCTTCCCAGGTGAGGTAGTCGCTAGCAGGCCTTTGGGGGGCTGCTCACGGCAGCTCATGCTGGATGCCGGCCGCTCACAGTAGCTCACAGCAGCCCACTGCAACAGGGGCTGCAGCCTACGCTGTCATCGGCGACTCATGGCAGCCCAGCTCCAGGTAGAGCTGTTCACCATCTTAGTTGTAGAGGGCGCAGCATCACTGACCCTCATGTGGGATCCGAACCGGGGCCCTGCTGCTCAGAGCTGGCGTTCCTGTATCTTCTTGAGTCACTTGTATCAGTTTTCTGTCTTTCTAGGAATGTGCCCGTTAATATTATCTAATTTGTTGGCATACAAATGTTCATAGGAGTCCCCTGTAATCCTATTTGTGTTGTAGTAATATGATTCCTCATTCCTCATTTTAGTAATTTAAGTTCTATTTTTTTTCCTCGCTCAGTCTAGCTAAAGTTTTTTCTATTTTCAAAGCACCAACTTGTGGTCTTGTTGATTTGCTCTTTTTTCTATTTTGTGTATTTCCATTCTAATCTTTATTATTTCTACTTCTTTTGGATTTATGATAGTTTACTCTTTTTCTAGTTTCTTAAGGTAGAAGAAACCTAAAGGGTGTTGATTTGAGATCTTTTTTAAATGTAGGCATTTTAAGATAAATCTCCCTCTAGGAGCAGCTTTAGTTGCGTTGCGTAAGTTTTGGTATGTTGTTCTCATTTTCATGTATCTCAAAGTACTTTCTAATTTCCCTTGTGATTTCTTTCTTTGATCCATTCATTATTTAGGACTGTGGTTTTAATTTCCACATATTTGTGATTTTCCCAAATCTATTTGTTAATGATTTCTAATTTATTCGGTGTGGTCAGAGGACAGTATAAGTTCAATCATTTTTAATTCACTGAGACTTGTTATATAGTCTAGCGTATGGTTTATCCCACAGAATATTCCATGTGCGCTTGAGAAGAATGTGTATTTTGCTACTGTTGGATGGCAAGTTCTATAGATATTTGTTAGATCTAGTTGGTTTATACTGTTTTCTACTTCCTGTTTATCTTCTGACTAGTTATTCTATCCATTCTTAAAAATGGAGGAGGGGGGCCAGCCAAGTGGCACGATGGTTAAGAGCTGGCTTGGGACGCCAGAGGGCCATGGTTCAGATCCCACATGTGAGGGCCAGTGACACTGCCCTCTACAGCTAAGATGCTGAGCAACAGCTCAACCTGGAGCTGGGCTACCCTGAGTCGCCGGTGATGGCGTAGGCTGCAGCCCCTGTGGCAGTGGGTTGCCATGNGGTTGCCATGGGCTACCGTGTGTAGCCAGCAGCCAGCGTGAGCGGCCAGCAGCCGCAGTGAGCGGACGTCCAGAAGCCGGCGACTGATCTGCCTCACCCGGGAAGAGCGCAATGATGGTGCCAACTTGGGCCAGTGAAGCAACGACCTCCACAACTAGACTGAAGAACAAAATGATAGCAACTTGTCTGTTCCCCTTTCCCCAAGTCCCCAGCACTGTTCCCTTCCCCCCAATACCCCAATAAAAATCTTTAAAAAAAAATGGAGGAGGGGCCGGCCGAGTGGCTCAGTTGGTTAAGAGCTCACTCAAGAGTGCGAGCTCTGAGCAACAGCGATTTGAGTCCTGGCCTGAGCTGAGCAGCTGCTGAGCTGCCAACAGGTGTCAGGATGGCTCAGCTAAAAAATAAATAAAAAATTTTAAAAAATGGAGGATTGAATGCTCCAACTGGTATTGTTGAACTTTCTCTTCAAATCTTCCAGTTTTTCCTTCATGTATCTTGGGGCTCTGTTGCTAGGTACATATGTTTAGAATTATCTTTCTGAAGGATTGATCCTTTTATCATAAAAAATGTCCTTTGCCTGTAGTCACAATTTTGTTTCTTAAAGCTTATTTTGTCTAATGTTATTTGTCTATTATTAGTATGGCCACTCAAGCTCTCCCTGAGTTACTGTTTGCATGATTTATCTTTTTCCATCCTTTTATTTTCATGTGCTTGTTATCTCTGAGTCTAAGGTGTGTCTTTAGCAGACAGTAATTCAGAGTTGGATCATGGTTGTTTTGGTTTTTTAAAATCCATTTTGCCAATCTCTTTTGATTGGAGTATTTAATCCATTGATATTTAATGAAACTACTGATAAGGTAGGGTTTATGTCTGCCATTTTGCTATTTGTTTTCTATTTGTCCTGTATGCCCCCCATTCCTTCATTACTGCCTTCTCTTTTGTTAAACAGGTATTTTCTAGTGTAACATTTTAGTTTCCTTGTCTTTTTTTACTATATACTTGAAGTTATTTTCTTAGTGGTTGGTGTGTCTTGGTGTGGATCTCTTTGAGTCTATCCTTAGTTTGAATTTCTTGCATGCATTTTAATGTTTTTCGTCAAAGTGGGAAAGTTTTCTTCCAATGTTTCTTCCCCTCTCTCTCTTCTAGGGCTCCTGTATGTGTACAGTATATGCTGGTATACATCCATGCCTCTGGGTAGATCTCTGGAGCACTGTTCTTTTTCCTTTATTCTTTTTTCTTTCTGTTTCTCAGATTGGATAATCTCAATTGGCTTCAGATTTACTAATTCCGTCTTTTGCCAGCTCCAACTTGCTTTTCAACACCTCTACTGAATTTTTCATCTGCATTATTGTACTTGGTTCTATTTAAAAGAAAATTTCTGTCTCTTTAATGATATTCTCTCTGATGACACATCATTCTCAATCTCAGTTCTTTAAACACATTTTAAATAACTTAATTAAAATCTTTGTGTAATGAGTCCAACCAATGCCTGAGTTTCCTTAGGCACCATTTCTATTGATCGCCTCTTCCATCTAGGGGCTTACTTTCTTTTGTTTTTAGATGTCCCATGATTTGTGTTGAAAATTGGAAAATTTTAATAATATAATCAGGCAGCTTTGGAAACCAGATGCTCTTTCCCTCTCCAAAGTTTATGGTTGTAGCTCTTTGTTTATTTAGTGACTTTGCTGAACTAAAGCTTGTATTCTTCGTTGTGTGTGGCCACTGAAGTCTCTGCTAAGTTAGCTTAGTGGTTAACTAATGATTAAACAGATTTCCTTAAATGCCTGGAGCCAGTAATTCTCCCAGTATTTGCCAAGGGGCCGTGTGTGTGTGTGTGTGTGTGTGTGTGTGTGTGTGTGTGTGTGTGTGTTTTGGGCATACCCTCATGCTCAGGAAGGTGGTTTACAGCTCTGTCTTAGTCTTCATTGCCTGCATTTGCAGATCCTCCTGGTCAGAGGTGAAAGCTAAGGGCACACACACAGCCCTACACATGTGTGTAGGCTTCCACATTCTTAGGAATATGTTGAAGCTTTTCAAAACCTCTCAGTTAACGAGGGTCAATCTATTGACTTATGTATTGGGTTCAGCCAGTGACAGCCACCTCTGGCCTGTTTTTTGTATGGCCTATGAGCTAAGAATGTTTTATATATTTTGTAAGAGTTGGAGAAGAGACAAGGAAGAAACTGCAACAGAGACCTCATATGGCTTGCAAAGTCTAGAACATTTACTGTTTGGCCCTTTACAGAAAGTCTGCCTGTGGCTGGGTAATAGAATAATGGATTCAAACAACCAGCGATGTCCTAGGATAGTCAAAACCCACGGTAAGACTATGGGACCACAGGGATCAAAAACACTTGAAATATTATTACTTTAATGCTCCAGGCATTTTAAATATTCATAAGATCGCCCTATTTCAGAAGTCATGTCCTCCTAGGTACAGAGTCTTTCCACAATCAGAGACGAGGGTATCACTGAATTCCTTTATAGCAGAACATGCTGTGGGGGCCACTCCGGTGCCTGACTTCTTTCGTGGTGTCCCCACCACACCTACAAGAGGGCTGGATCCACCCCACTTGACACAACCGCAACTGCTCATGAAATACACTGTGTAGCTTCACTGCGCTGTGGGTTCTGTGCATCCCGGACTGTCCCAGCACAACCACGTATCCCAAGACTGGGACAATTGTGCAAGGCGCGAGGGGGACATCGTATCAGCCAATAAGTATGCCAGCACCTGCTCCACCGCATCAGGCACTGAGGCATTTGAATGTTCTGGGCAGAGTGGAGCTTGCAATCCCCACAGGAATTAGTGTGAGGAAAGGGGTTTGTCTCTCAATAATTAGTAACCTTAACACGTAGTTAGCAGATTTATAAGCCTCCGTCTGTTTACACTTGTTGCCACGGCTTCACAGACTAGGTAGATCAAGGCTGTTTAACATGAAACAAAGAAGCTGCTTAGTCAGGACTTCCTAGTTGCATGAGTACCCGTGTCAACATCTGGTCATTCTTAAAGAGACACCTGTTCTTCCAAAAGCTCTAGGCCTTATTTTATTCTTCACAGGTAATTGTAATGTGTTTGTCCTCCCATCTCAAGCAGTTCAAGGCACCTCTAAGCACAATGATGCCTGAGGTTCCGGTTAATTGTCAGAGTGGGGGAGGGGTACGGTGTGGACACCAGCACTGCTACAAGCATCCCAAGTGATCCCAGCACACAGCACTGGGAACCTTGGTACTGACAGTCCTTGAGTCTTCCTGACCTCACCTGTCCTTGCTAAAGCCTATGAGGTAGTCCCGGATCAGGCAACGATCCCTCCTGTGAGACAAGAAGCAAAAGCGCAGAGAGGTTACGGTCCGTCTGACACTGAGTGGCCAAGGACAGAACCAAGACTGGAGGGGGCATCTCCAATGAGTAACACCTCTCAGCAGCTGGCGACACAAACACGGACACATGTAGAACTGACTAGGTAGCCAGGCAGGACCATCGGTGCAAGGACATCCAAGGGTATGGAACAGTTCTGAGCCAACCACCCCCCAATTGGAAATAAACTCATAAAATAAGTACTTATCTGAAACCACTGAGGAATGAATGAAGCATCACTTCCTTTTAAAGCCTCACTTCTGTCACATATATGCTATTGATTCAGGCTTCTTAGAAAATCCATCATGACCCACAGACTTCCTAACGTCTGAACTCTTAGCTCTGTCGCTTAGCAGCTGGAGAACTCTCAAGCATCCCTGTAGTTTAGATGCCAAAGATCATGACATACCTGCATACACATGTCATAGCACTTTAAAAACCTCCAAACTTTCCCCATTACCAGCCCACACAGACATCACAAGGACCCAGTACCCCTCACTCTCTAAGTGGGTGTGCACCTGGCCATGACCTACATGTCCCCAAACACCAACCCAGCAGCTCGCTGGGCCTCCAGGAGTGACTTTTACCACTGAATGTTCCATTCTGCTCTGCATGCAAACTTCATGATCTAGACTGGGTAAAAACCAGGACTTGGTTTTGTAATTGCAAATCTCCATGTGAATCAACCCAGCTGGGCCTTTGTCCCCATCACCCTGCTGTCACATTTTCACATGCTACACCCATTGCTGCATCTATATTTTTATCGTTCCCTTTTCACTGTAAGCTCCCTCTTCCCATCATGTTTGAGGAGCTGTTGTTTTTCCTTCTCCTTTTAAAAACATCTCCCCAAGTGCAGGACTGCCTTTTTGTGCAAGCAGAATGGATAATGAGCACACATATGCAGAAAGGGCACACACACCAAGTTCCCAGGAGGAGGTGCGTGGTCCAGGGGTCTGCTGGGACGCCCAGCACTGTCTAGGAAGGGCACGCTCACCCAGCTCAGCCAACACAAGTAGCACTTGTCCTTCCCACTGCTGGTGACGTGGCCTCCTTAAAAGTCTGCAGCATACTAGTCAACCTGAGGGGTGGAAACCACACCCAATGGGACACTTCTGTTGGCCTATGAGATGCTGTGTGGAGCTCTGGAACCCCACCTTTTCCATCTGGGGAGAGCCTGTCCCCAGGACAGAGGCCGCTCACTGGAACAGAACCTCCCCGCTCCAGCATCGGCAGAAGGTGCATGGCGAGTATGGAGAGTGAGGCGGCAGGGACTCTCTGTCCTGGGGCAGTGCCACCCCAGGGCCAGGAATTTTACCTTCTGACCCCGAGAGGGGTTTTCACAAAAGTGAAAATGAAAATTGTGAGCACCGGGGAACTCTGCCAAAGTGCTGTGGAATTCTGGTTAAAACTAAGGTGACTGAGAGCATCATATTTCAAGGGCACTCAACTACTGCGTAAAGCAAGACTTTGTGTTTTTTCTTTCATGCTTATTTGATGCTAACGGGCTGTGGCCAACATGCTGCTTGGTTTGTAAAACATGCAGAGAGCAGCATGCTGTGTTGGTGCCCGGCCCACACCAACCTGACAGGGGACTGACCCAAGGGCTCAGGAACGGGGACAGGAGAAAGCCCTGCCCCGCGAGGCCACAGAACCCAGGGCTGCCCGCACACACCTGTCCAGAGTGTCATGGGGGGATGGGCAGGGTCACATTGGCAACTCCCCAACACTGTAGCATCCAATCCCCATGCAAACAGAAGGTGGCGGTGGGCATAGAGCTAAGGCACGAAGGCTGCAGCAGGTGGGGACACCAAAGGTCCAATGGTCCCCAGGAAGGAGCGGCACAGCTCACATGGCTGCCTTAGGACAGAAGCCCGATTCTTTAAAGGATGAGAACATAAAACAACCAAATCCCAGTGTCTTCCCCTTAGAAGAGCATTTTGTTCTCCCCTCAGGGGCCCTGAGTGGCCGCTCTTGGGAGTCACCTCCGCTGTCACACTGTCTCCTCCATCCTGTCTTTGCCAGCTGCCTCTTTCTCGTTTGGCTTCTCCGGAGCAGGACCCCGCGCTCGGCCCTTAGTCACAGCCTGACAAAGGCAGTCGGCCGGCTCTGCTGCTGCTCGGCGTCCGGGGGCGGGAAGACGCTGGAGATGGCCATGTCCACGATTCCCTGGCACAGTTCTGCGTAGAGCTTCCTGGAATGCGTTTGGAAATACCATTGAACAAGTTCACCCAAGCATGAGCCGAAAACCAGAGCTTTTCCCACGTCACAATCACATTTACACAGCTGGCTCCCACCATCCATCCAGATACTCGGGGCACTGTGGGAGACAAAACGTCCCCTTAACACGCATTTCTGGAAGGCCTCACAGGTAGACAAACAGACCACTGCTTGGCCGTGAGCTGCAGAGAGGACAGGCTATTGCAAGATAAGAGCCCTGCTGCTGTCTGGGGAGGGGACACATGCACTGGCAGGCCTCCCCACAGAAAGCTCCTGCTCTGGGTGGTTGAGGGGACTGTAGGAGATGCCCCAGGACTGAGAGCTATGCTGAGACCTGGAGAATGAATGAAGTTAGAGCAAGAATGCAGGACGGTAGAAAAGAGGGGAGACAGACACAAGGACAATGAGGGAGAGAGGGAGGGAGAGGAGAGAGGGGGAGGTGGGCTGGGAATGTGATCACTGCAGGGGGAGGCTGCAGACAAAGCAGGGGCCAGGCCATGGCCTCCATCCAGAGGCCCTGGAAGCACCAAAGCAGAAAACTGAGGAGGAAAACCTCCCACCCCATGTCTTCAGCACAGCATGGGGCCCTCCAGCTCCCTCGGCCACCATTCCCTATAGGGTTTCTGCCTGTTTTGTGGGCAGCTCACGAGGCCCGAGCCTGCAACCTCTGGACCGACTCTAACACAGAGGAAAACCAGGGGTGTGTGATCCAGGGAGAAAACCCACATCTGAGACGATGCTTAGGCCAGATGTGCTCACCCATCTGACTGGCTGAAGACACACCAGGACTCCAGGCCTGGAGCCCAGGGCAAACGCCCTGACCTACAGGAACAGAGGCCTTTACTGTTTTGCTGTCCAGTCTCCACGGGGCAGGGCACACTCACAGCCTGGTTCCCACTCTCTCCATCACAGAAGTGGTCCCCAGCCCCCGTCCCTTTTCACTGCCCTGAGGCTAGTGCTTCTAAGTCCCAAGCTCTTGAAAGGCCCTCTAGGAGGAAAGCATGAAAAGCCACGCCTGCATTATCCATTTCGGGACATGCCGACTGCCAGTGGACCTCCATCTCCCCGTTAGACGGCTGCCCTCGCCCCCAATTCCACGGGCCCTGTCCTTCTGTCAAACGAATCAAGTCCCATTGTCAACAGTTTGGTGTAGCCAAACCACTCAACATCCCACTAGTAAGGGACAGTGACATGAGGCCTGGAAGGCAGTGATGGGAACTAAGCTTGGGACTCGGGACATCACCAAGAGCCACAATTGTCAAATATGCTATGTTCAGTGCTTCATGATGCTTGTCATGAAACACTTGGGAAGGCATTTACCAAAGGCTCGGGACAAGGAGAGGATGCAGCTGTGACACAGGCAAATCAGCTCATATCTGAGGCACTTCTGCTGCGGAGGAGGGTCACCATACGCAGGAAGTCGTGTGCCTGCTCATTTTCTACGACAAGAGTGAGCCACACGCTAACACATGCACAACATGCAGGGGACTGTGGCTCATGAGGAAACAGTTCTTCCACCATGTCATCATGTCACCACACCTATCAGCCCTCTGCCTGTCCCACCTTTAGGACACAAATAAGAAAGCATTTGAAAGTTCATATTCTTCAGCACAAGAACCGGAAACAGGCTTCTTGCCTCTCAGTGTGGCCTGGGTCCCTCATTGCTTCCTGGGCCACCTCATGGTAAGCCCCACCCCCGCCCCAGAAGCCCTCCCCACTCAAAATCATGCCCCTAAAAGAATCTGTTCATTTTCTATTACAGACTTGTACCATGGTATGATTCACAGTGATTAATTGGGCAGTGTCCGTCTCCTCCCCCAGTGGACCTCCTTGAGGACACTCATCTTTACATGACCTCCTCCTAATCCTTTGGGAGGTCACCTCAGTGTCTCCGGAATATGCATGGGGAACACGATAAAAGCCGATCTCAGAACCAACAGCCTTTGATGATCAAGTCCAAACGAGCTTCCCTCACATGTAAGGCCTTCCATGGGGCAGTCTGACTCACCTGTCCCCTTCATCATCTCTTACTCCGTGACACTGACACCACACTGCAGCCAGGCTTCTTCCAGGAGGAACAGAAGCTCCCCGAGAGGGGGTAGGTCTGCTCATCTGTGCTGTCCCACAGAGCCTGGCACCGAGCAGGGTCCTGCGGGACACTATGTCCCCTTCCTGAAGGCTGTACCCTCCCCTCTGGGAGTATGTCACAATCTTCTCACACCCAGCTCCAGCTCCACTGCCTGCCCAGGTCATTACTGTCCTCCCACTCACTCACCTTGTTACACAAGAGGGTCCCCTCTTGCAGTTACTAGCTTTGTTTTTAACTCTCACAATTATCAGGCACCTGAGTGCAGACTCACAGCTCAACGCACAGGGGAAATCGGGAAAGGAAAGGCCTCAGCAAAGCCCAAGCCCCTGCCAGTGGGGTCCTCTCCAGGGACTTCTGTTCTGTCACACCCACCCTGACAGCAGTCAAGGGTCACAGGAACATGCCACCTTGCCAAGACTGGCCATTCCACTGCGGAACCAACTCCCCCTGTCACAACCCAGTGGTGTCAGGCTTACTGAGCACAAGCGGGGGCACCGTTGACCTCAATGAGCCAGACCTTCAGCTCCTCGTCTACCATGAAGTCGAAGCCAAACAGCTGGAAACTGTGGTAAGGGAGGTGCCGTGTGCTGATGGCGGGCTCCACGCTCATGAGGCAGCTCCTGCGGGCAGAGGGAAGAAGGAACCCGGGAGATGGGCCAGTGACTCTATCACATATGGGCTTTGACCAAATTACCAATAGATTATTCAAGACGATCCTACTTATCAGGTGACTTGTTAGAAGACTGCAGCCCATGTTCGCACAAGCACAGGCTGCTTTCCAAGCTCAGCATTGTCACCGTGGCCCCTGTAAAGGTGGCCTACTCTCACAGGAGGGCTGCTGCCACATGTGATTGTGACAATAACACACTTGCATGTTTTGTTTCCATAGAAAAGCAATGGACCACTATTTGGTGAAGGGCAGAATTTGCACAAAGGATGCTGGCCTCATTCCTTTCTTTTGCTAGACCCAGTTTGGATGCCAAATTGTTACTAATTAAAATACTGAAGAACTACATGTATTGAAACTAAATGTTGGAATAGAATAGTATTAACATCAATTACTGTTTGAAGAAATTGGAAAAAAAACAACCCAGAAAAACTGAAAACACAGAAAGAAGCTGAAAGTGAATCTCAAACATATATAAGGTCAGAGGTTAGGCTGCCACGGCCAGAATCTTGGTCAGTGTTTTAACCTCTCCAAGCCAAGCTTTGATTTACTTTTCCATACAGTCGAGGGTAAGATAATGGAACTATGACTAATAAATCACTGTTGTCTAATATGGCTGCCCCACAGTACCTATGCCATCTTTATTTTATGAAGGTCTTCCCAATTTTCCCTAGACTTAATGTCGGGGCAATACCTACCTTAGTAATAGAATATGTTATAATGACTCCAAGATCACCAGGGGTAGCTATCCCTCTACTCAACTGTATAGTTAAAAGGAAAGGGGTGCGGGGAACTGGCTTCCACATGACTAACTCTAGGGTGTTTCTGTGCAGGTAGGTTTTGACTCTGTGAACATGGGGCCAGGGTCTTGCTTCCCAGACCTCCCTCCATCACTCCCCCAACTCCAAGTGTCAATTTCCTTTTAGTTTTTTTTCCCCAACAGGAAAATATTTCTGTAGATATGTTTAAGCCTTTAAAAAATAATTTTGGACAGTTAGCCATTGAAGAATCAATAGGAATAAGAATTTTTCCTCCCATTCATCTTTAACCTGCACTGGCCAGCCATATCCCACACTGTTTTCTAGGTCCTATCTCTAAGCTATAAGAGAATACTCTTAACTTTTGTTTTAATTACATTATAATTTTAAAAAATATTTAAAAAATACTATTTAGTTTTGATTTGGTTGTTCTGGCTGTCAGTTTTTCCTTTACGTACTAGGGCATAGTGTCCTTTCATTCTTTATCCTTCAGTATTGTCAGGGTTTTCTCCCTCTTTTTTCTTTTTCTTCTTTCTTTTTTTTTTTTTGTCATGAACACCTACTATTTAATGAATCTCAAAAACAGAGGAAAGAATCATTAAAAGCAATACTAAGATTTCAGCTGATATCTCAACAGAAAAGATGGAAGCCAGAGATAATAATAGTAAGCCACCTTCAAAGTGCCAAAAAATTAAGTGCCGATCTAGAAATCTGTTTCCAGAGCAAATGTCATTTAAAAATGAAGACAAAATAAGTATATTATCAGATAAAAAAAAAAACCCCAGAGATAATTCATCACCAGCAGACCTCACTTTTTTAAAAAAAAGCACTAAAAATGAGTTTTTTAAGAAGAAGGAGGGCCGGCCAAGTGGCGCGTTGGTTAAGAGCTGGCTTGGGACCTCAGAGGGCCCCGGTTCGGATCCCACATATGAGGGCCAGTGACACTGCCCTCCATAGCTAAGATGCTGAACAACAGCTCAACCTGGAGCTGGGCTGCTGTGAGTCGCCGGCGACGGCGTAGGCTGCAGCCCCTGTGGCAGTGGGTTG